GTTTTGCTCGCCTGTTGGTTGGGGCGGGGCGGGGCGGGGGGGGGGGGGGCACAGGTGCGGGGGGCGGGTGGAGTGATGGTGGGGTGCTGTGTGCGTCCGGCACCGTCGTTTGTATGCGTGCCGAGGACGACACGGTGGACAGCATAGTCCTTGTTGGGCGGCGTGCGCTTGTCGGGAAGCCACTGCGGGGGCACGACGCGTGTGAATAGCGCCTCAGCGGCAGTACCTCCTCCTTCGTCGCCGCACACACACATGCACAACCGCGCTGCGATGGGCGGCGATGACGTGGCTCGAATGGCAGGTGGCAGGCAGGGAGGAGTGGCGCCTGGACAGTGAGCGAGGGCCACTCGAGCGCGTGCGTGAGGATCAGGTCGTACAGGAAGGGAGTGTTCTTCTTCCACACCTTGTACTGTGCGCAAGAGGGACACGGGTGGGGTTTGGCGAGAGCGGGTAGTGGGAAGCGTGCAAGGCTGCGCGGCAGCGTACGCGAGCGTTCGCAGCGGGGTCGGGAAACGGACACGGGCGTGCGGGGCGCACCTCCTCGTTGATGGTCTGCTCCAGCGAGGAACCCTCGGCCTCCTCGGGCGCGCTCATCTCCGCGATGCACCAGAGCTCTCGCGCCGGGCTGAGCTTTCTCGCGCCAAAGGCAGGTTGTGAGTGTGAAGGACATACCCAGACTGCCACCGGCGGGGTCCCCGCTAGGCCGGTCGTAGCGGGAGCTGTGTGTAGCAATGTATAGCCTAGAGAGAGCTCTCTGTTTGTCTGTGTTCTCTCGCGCACGCAGCCGAGAGTGCGAGAGAGAGAGATTTGTAGCAATACCAATGCGAGGGAGAAAGACCGCGATTGGTGTCGAAATCCCCGGTGTGTGTGAATCGCACCTCAACCTCTCATAGACCAGCGCACAGCGCCATACGAGGTATTTTCTTCTCAAAACAAGGCAGGCTGTGAAAGGGCGGTCTGGGTGGACGCAAGCGAGACGGACGGCCTTCAGTTATCGTTTTGCCCCAGCGTGAAGAGCGAGTGTGAATAGCTGTGCGATTTCGGGGCCCGGCCGGGGTTGTGCGTTTGTGTGAATACTTGTACGACGCACCCGAGCTACGCGCCGACGCTGAAAGAGAGGTTAATAAAAAAAATTATCCCGACGCTGGACATCGCACATCGGACAAGTGGTCCACACGCTGAACAGAATGTTCAATCTCAATGTCCCACCCCCCTGCGCGCGGGGGCCTTCTAGGCCCGCGGGTAATCTCCCCCCATCCCCAGGGCCTGCCTCCAGGGCTCACACTCACACCTCAACCTCTCACAGACCAGCCAGCGCACAGCGCCATAGGGCGTATTTTCTTCTCAATGATAAGGCTGTGAACCCCATCCCCAGGGCCTCCAGGGCTCGCACCCCAAACTCTCACAGACCAGCGCGCAATAGGAGGTATTTTCTTCTCAATAACAAGGCTGTGAATAACAGATTCTGTGAATAACAGAGTGAATAACAGAGTGACTGTCTCTGTGCGATTTCGGGCCCGGGGTTGTGCGTTTATGAGAGAGAGATTTTTAGCAATACCAAACAACTCTCTAACACTCACACGTCATTTGGGGCCTGGAGCGTTTTTGCGTTTATGTGAAAAAAGAAAGAAACACAGAAAACAGACAACCCCGTTTATGTGAAGAGCGCCGGCGTGCGTATGAGCTCACAACAACAACACAACAAATCTCTATGAGCTCACTACTCGAGTAGCTAGCTAGAGCTCACACTAGAGGCCGTCATCGCATTCGCCTTCCTGGTACCCAGCGCTGGCTTCTGACTGTCGTTGCTGTCTCTCCCTTCTCGACTGTCCCTGTGCTTGCTTGTGCGTCTTGGGTCCGGAGTTGTGTTTTTGTGTGAAGAGCACCAAAAGAATTTTCAAAAAGAAGGAATAACAAGTTCTGCGCAGCGCTCTCGGAGAGGCGCTTTGTACTCGGGTTTGGATGGTAGCGGGGGGCCCCGCCGGAGGCTGCTGCTCTTATTTATCCCTGGTGTGGACGGTTTTTTTCGCGGTATCCGCGGCGGGATATGGCGGGATATGGCGGGATATGGCGGGATGCCGGGAGATACCGGGAGATACCGGGATATACCGGGAGATACCGGGAGATACGAGATACGGGCAGATACGGGCAGATACGGGGAGATACGGGAAGATACGGGGAGATGCGAGGAGATGCAAGGAGATACGGGGAGATACGGTCAGATATTGCAGAGATACATCAAGATACCGCAAAAAAACCGTCCGCACTAGGGGTGCTCATCTCATAACAGTGAAGAAAGACATCGGACCCGAAGAGGATCGAGCGGAGTGATGCGGCCCCTGCCGCTGCTTGTGGTGCTCTACACGTCGATTGCCGCCGGCTCCTTCGCGAGCACACCGCCCGCGCCCTCGCTGGTGCCGACCGTGGCCGTGCGTCATCGCGCTGCAGTCGCCACTGCTCAGCCGTCTGCCAGCTCCGCCAGTGCACAGGCCTCTATCGCGGAGGAGCCGCTGCAGCAGCCGCCGCGGGCCATCCCGACGGGGCCTTCGCCGCTAGGCTTGCTGGTCCTCGCGCTTGGATCGTTCGGAGGCATTGCGCTAGCCACTAAGCTGCTCGCTCCCCTCTCGGGCGCCTGGGTCGGCGGCGCGAAGCTCGTCTTTGCAGCCGCCGTCGCGGGTGTGATCAGCCGCACCTGCTGCGCGCCGCTCGAGATGGTATCGACGGTGATGATGTGCCGCGGCGACGAGTGCGGGTCGATGGGCGAGGAGCTCGCCGACGCGTGGAGGCGCGACGGCATGTCTGGGCTCTTCAAGGGGAACGGAGCCAACTGCCTGAAGGTTGCTCCGTCGCGCGGCACGCAGGTAGTAACGCAGTCCCTCTTTCCTCCCGCATCGGCCGCGCCTGAGCATCCGACCCACCCAACCCCGCCCCGCAGTTCCTCGTGTACGAGTTCGTCAAGCGCCAGATGGTCGCCGGTGCCGCCGCCGGAGCCGTGCTCTCGGCAGGGAATCGGCTGGTCGCTGGTGGCATCGCTGGGATGGTGGCGGCGCTGCTGGTGTACCCGCTCGAGGTGATCAAGACGATGCTCACCATCTACCCCGAGGAGTGCAAGGCCACCCCCGGCGGCGCCATCGGCTGCGTCATCAAGGCTGGCGGCGTGCGCGGCCTCTACGCCGGCGTGGTGCCGACGCTGATCGCCATGTTTCCGTATGTGGGCGTCGAGTTCATGGTGTACGAGACGCTCAAGCGGCGGTGGGAGCTGTGGGCGGGCGCGCCCGCGGGCACCCTCACCATTATCCTCCTCGGCGCCGTCGGCGGCGCCTGCGCCCAGGCGTCGGCTCACCCGCTCGACGTCATTCGGCGGCGGCTGCAGCTGGGCAACATGGCGAGGGTGAGCGCCGACGGCACCCAGAAGCCAAAGCCGCCCTACTCAAACATGGTCTCTGGATTGTACACCGTCGGAAAGACCGAGGGGCTGCACGTCCTCTTCCGCGGCCTCGGCCCCGCCTGCTTCGAGAAGGTGCCCTCCACCGCCATCGGGTACTACATCTACGAGCTGATGAAAAGGCTGCTGCGCGTCGCCTCGGTGTAGCGGTGAGCCGCGCGCGGGCCGCCGCGTATTCCGAGGTTTCGCTGCCGCGCTGGATGATCAGCGCGGCGGCAGCAGCGGGTCATACTGTGATCGGGGCTGCCGCAGAGGAGTCACCCCTTTTCACACGCCCGCTCCCGGCGGAAGGGGTGGTGTGTGGCGGCACGTGGTGCCGGCGCATGCCCCCTCTGCTTCTCATGACGCGGATGATGGTCTAGTGCTCGGGAGGGCAAGAGGCGGCTCACATGCCCACTGCGCAATCATTCATGCCACGTGCTCTCCGTACTCCGTCCACACCTACCTGCTCTTTATGGCATGGAATTTACCATGGTGGGGTTGGGGTGCAACGTGCGTGTGGCATGGAGCCGCTCCGCCGGACGGCGGAGAGGAAATGTGAACATATTAAATGCGCCTGCGGGCGGACCCTTACAGATCACAGATCACACGTACGTGGCTCCCACAAACAAAAGGCGCAAAAACTCGTAGAGCCGTACGTTCCAGTCGCTACGACCGTACGAGTACCCAGTTGCCAGTACGTACGAGTAAGACCCCGCATTCAATGCCGGCCACTCAGAGCAAGACCGCCATCGTGGAGCCCACCGAGCCCGCCGAGCCCGAGATCGCCACCCTCGAGAGCAAGGAGTACACGCCCGAGGGACGCTCCACCGTCGTCGTCAACGCGCGCAACGACGACGGCAGCGGCGCCGAGGGCCGCGCGTCGGACCAGGACCAGGGGGAGGAGGGCGAATCGCCGGTGGAGCGCAAGACGCGCTGGACCGAGCGCGGCGTCTCTTGCCCCGAAGGCTACGTGCCCGTCGGCGCGCGCCGCTCCGTCGCGCTCGCGACCTCCTCGCACGGGCTGACCGTCGAGTGGCTGACGGGGGTCTTCCAGGAGCGCGGCTTCCTGCGCCGGAGCGGCTGCGTGACGAGCGTCAGCGTCCGGCCGCTCGGCGAGGGCGAGGGCGTGATGGGCCTCCTCGCCATCTGCACCGTCGAGCTCCAGGGCGCGCTCGATCACGCGCCTCCCCAGTTTGTCGCTAAGTTCAGCCCGGTGAAGACGTCGATGCCCGGCTTCCTGCTCCGCTCCGTCTTCGGCGCGGAGGCGCACTAACGACATGCACGAGGAGGACCAGGGGCGTGGCCGGCCCGAAGCGTACTTTATTGGCGCCAAGCTCTTCCACAAGCGCGTGTGGAAGCGCAAGCCCGTCTTTGTGACGCTGGTCGAGATGATGCCCACGCCGCTCTACTCGCGCACCACCGGCTGCGACAACCTGCAGCACCTGCGGCTGGTGATGTCGTCGCTCGCCTCCTTCCACCGCGCTGGTGGGGCGCCACCAACAAGCAGGAGCCGCTCAAGTGGGTCTCGGCGCCGGGCACCGACAACATGGGCCTCTTCAAGAACGCACTCATCTTCTTCGCCAAGAAGGGCTTCCCGGCGCTCGAGGCTTGCTGGGGCGAGGCGTACGCGCCGGTCCTCGCGATGAAGCCGGTCATCATGCAGAAGCTCAAGTGGTTCGTGCGCGAGGTGTACAAGCCGCCGCTCACCCTCTGCCACGGCGACGTGCATCTTTTTCGACGAGGCCTTCCCGACCGGCCTCAAGACAATCGACTTTGGCAACTTCTGCGTCGCTCAGCCCGGCTTCGACGCCTACTTCCTTGGCCAGAACTAAAAAGAGCCCGAGCTCCGCCGGCAGCACGCCGACGAGCTCATGGCCCTCTACCGCTCGTGGAGGAGGGCGTCGACGACTACTCGCTCGAGGACTGCTGGCGCTCGTACCGGCTCAACCTCTTCCGCGTCCTGATGAACGTCATGTTTGTGACGTACGACCAGTTCGTCAAGGACGCGAAGCGCAAGCGGGGCATGTTTGCTGACTTACGGCATCGGCGCCTTCCTCGCGTGAAGCGGCGGCGGGCAGCGCCCCCACCCTATTGCGTCGCTCGGGGACCGCGCAGCGGGCCGGGCCCCTCGAAGCGACGCCTCTCATCTCTCGAGCTCTCTCGAGTGTAACGTGACCTCCGGTCGGGACCTCCCCACGAGCAGCGAGCACGACACACCTGCGCGAGTACGTTGCGCATCGTACGCCCGTTCACTACTACTGTTGAATATATCCTCCTTGCTTTATCGCGGTCTCTCTCCCTCGCACTCTCGGCTGCGCGAGAGAACACACACAAACAGAGAGCTCTCTCTATAGGCTCTACACATTGCTACACACAGCTCCCGCTACGACCGGCCTACGTAGCGGGGACCCCGCCGGTGGCAGTCTGGGTATGTCCTTCACACTCACAACCTGCCTTTGGCGCGAGAAAGCTCAGCCCGGCGCGAGAGCTCTGGTGCATCGCGGAGATGAGCGCGCCCGAGGAGGCCGAGGGTTCCTCGCTGGAGCAGACCATCAACGAGGAGGTGCGCCCCGCACGCCCGTGTCCGTTTCCCGACCCCGCTGCGAACGCTCGCGTACGGCCCCCCTCTCGCGCAGTACTCCGGCGCGGGTTCGTTAATCACTTCTGCAGCGTGCGGATGCGCTGGCTCTCCTCCTCGATCTCCTCCGGAGTCGCCAGCCCCCTCTCATTCCGGTACTCTGGGCGGTGCAGAGTCACCCGCTCGGACAAAAACTCAGCGGCGCGGACTGGTGGCAGATCCGCGCTGCCGCCCTGCCTGCAGCTGGTGAAGCTGGCGAAGGGGGGTCCGTCGGGCCGCGCGCCGAGGGCGCCGGTGACGATGGAGAGGCGCGGCTTGGTCTGGTCGCCGAGTAGCACGCGGTGCACGGACGCTCTCCACCGACCGCCCGTCCACCGGCTCAGCAGCGCGCCAACGTTCAGCACCAGAGCGCCTGCAGGGTGGATGTACCGAAGGAATAGGGCCCATGGAGACCGGATTCTGCAACGCACGTGGGAGTGTCAGAATAGGCCATGCAGGGACAGCACTGGCATACGCCTCCCAGTCTAGATCAGCGCACCCTTCACGTGCGGCACGTCCACCCACACGCGCTCGTCGTCGGCGCCGGAGGTGCCGACGGAGCTCGTGTCGACCTGCAGGCCGTGCGGGTTGGCGGGGTCGATCGAGAGCACAGTCACCATGCCCGAGTCGACGTGCGCCCCGTACCGCATCTGGCCGGGTTGCGCCCGTCTTTCGAGCGGCGGATAGAGCGCCTGCGGCATTGGGGACCGAGTGAATGTGGTGGTCTCTCGTGCTGAGCATCTGCGTTTGGGGAGCGCCAGCCGCACGCCCGACGACTGGCGACTGGCGACGGCATCAATCTCGCCCGTCTCCACTCCAAGGCTCAATTCGAGCGCCGCAGCGATGGCGTCGCCCAGGCCACTCGCCTCGGCGACGAAGGCGGTTGCCTGTTCACGCCGAGGTGTGTGAGGACCCTCTCCATAGCACCGCTCGCTCGGCCACCAAGGGCAATCGCCGGAGCGCGAAGCAGGTGCGGCACGCCATCGCCGCTCTGGAAGGCGGCCCACGCTGGCCGATCGCCGCTTGCCGCGCCCTTATCCCCGCCGCCTCCAGTTTCTTCGGCACCGCCTCCATCGCAACTGCCGCTGAGGCCGGCTGCTCCTGCCAGCTCCTGCAGGCGGACGCCGCCACTGCCGCTGCCGCTGCCGCCGCCTCCGCCCATGAGACCGCCGCCAAAATCGCCGCCGCCGCCGGTCGCCACGGTCGGCCCCGATAGCTCAGTGCCGCACGCGCCGCCGACGGACTCTGCCGCGAGCAGATTTCCGAGGGTCATGCTCTCGACGAGGTCGTGTGGGCGCGAAAAATCGCCAAGAAGCTGCGCGCCTGACGACGAACGGTGGTCGAAACTGAGCAGCTCATCGTGCCAGGGCTAGCCTGTAACGACATTCTGTTCCCATGGGGGGAGTGGGCTGTGGTCAGTGCGGCAATGCACGCCGGCCTCAGCATTGCGGACATAGCCGCCATGCCCGTATCCTAGACCCTTGTCGTACGCGTGCTTGGCGTCGGAGGCGAAGAACTGAACGGCGGATGCGCGCAGTGTCTCGATCGTCGACGTGCGGACCCCATGACCGACCACACTGGCGAAGCCTGTCTTTGCAAAGGCCTCGGAGAGACTTGCGGCGGCCGCGGCCCGCACGGCATGGCTGGCGTTGGCGGAGAGCAGTGGCGAGACGTCAACCTCGCAGATCTCGTTCGCAAGGGCTCCGGCTGGATGCAGCAGCAGTGGTAGTAGGGCGAGCGGGACCAAGCGTGGGAGCGCGCCGCGCATTTCAGCGGCCGACTTGGGCCCAAAGCAAGGCGGGGGGGGGGGGGGGTGGGAGGGGGACAAGCTTCGTTGTGAACACCATCTTCGATTTCGTTTGGAGTTGGTCGACTTTGTTACGAGCTCGTAGGAGCACAAATCGCCACTCCGGAGCGTACACACTCTTGGATACAGGCTTCAGGTGCGCGAGAAACGTCGGATGCCACTTTGAATAGTGCATGTCGTGTTCATTCTTTCATGTTTGTTTTTCCTCTCCAAAAATCGGCTGTTTGCTGTCCAGCATCGCGCGCGCACTTTCTTTTTTCGGCGTCGGCCCTGGGGTGCTCGCTCTTTGGTCGAGGTTCCTCCCACTAAAGGGCCGAACAGAAAATGCCAGCCAAGGACTGCCTGTCGGAGCATGACGCACTCGTAGAGCTCTGCTCGCAGTTCAACGATGTCGATGAGGCCACTTGCCTCCGCTTCCTTCGCGCGCGCAAGGGCTCGACAAAGGACGCGGCCGCGATGCTGCGCAAGCACCTGACGTGGGTCAGCGAATATGGCCCCAACGCCATCACGCAGGACAGCTGCGTCCGCGCCGTGCAGCAGGGCTGCTGGCGGGCGTTCGGCTCGCAGGCTGTCAGTGGTAGATATGTCAATCTCTCTCTCTCTCTCTCTCTCTCTCTCTCTCTCTCTCTCTCTCTCTCTCTCTCTCTCTCTCTCTCTCTCTCTCTCTCTCTCTCTCTCTCTCTCTCTCTCTCTCTCTCTCTCTCTCTCTCTCTCTCTCTCTCTCTCTCTCTTGCTCTCTCTCTCTCTCACACACGCACAATTCTCACTCACTCTTTCTCTCGCGCGCTCGCTATACTCAGCAAATCTAATAGCACATGCCCGGTGTAGGCGAATACCGACGACGGCGAGTCGATCGGCCTGCTCTGGGTACAGCTCTCCCTGTGGCGGCCTTCCGAGTACGACGCGGCAGAATACACGCGAATGGTCGTCTACTTTTCCGAGCGGCTGCCACGGCTCGGGCCAACGCACGTCGTGCTCTTTGACATGTCGGGCTGGAAGCTCTCCCACGGGACGCACGTCCGCAAGCTCAAGGCGCTGATCAGCACGGTGCAAGACCACTATCCGGAGAGGTTGCGTGCGGCGCTGCTGATCCGCGCGCCGGCGATCTTCGAGCTGACGTGGAAGATGATCAAGCCGTGGATCGACCCCGTCACCGCGGCAAAAGTGCACTTCCTCCCGGGTGCAGCGCCGCCCGCAGCCTGTCTGCCCCCCACTCGCCCTCCCCGACTCTGTACCGCCGCGATGCAGGCGGCGCCAAGGAGGCGGGCGGCGCAACCAAGCCTTTCTGAGCCTGCACCCCTCCCACTGCCAGCCTCGACACCCTCCCCAGCTCACCTCCCGTTGGGCCGACCTTAACACTAGCCCTAACACACCAGGCGGCGGCGCTCGCGGCCTTCATCGAGCCTTCCAAGCTGCCAAACTGCTATCCCGGCGGCGAGTGCGCGGCCGACGCCGTGCCGGGACTGCCCGACGAGCCGACCGTCGCGCTCCAGTAGCGGCATCGTCCGCTCTGGTAGCCTTCGCAGCCCAACCCGCTGAAGCGGCTCGCTCTCGCAACGCTCTGTGGGCACCGCGGCCAGAGGTCGTTACGCACAGCTGAGCGTTTCGCGAGAGGAAAGCTGCCCTGGTGGGCACGGCGACGACGGCAGGGCTAATTTGCAACACCTGTGCATGCACATGTGCATGGGCATGTGCATGTGCATGTTGGCGGGGGGGGGGGGGGGCAGTGGAGTACGTCGTACGTTGTGCAGTAGATCGCGGGTGGATGTCAAGTGTCGTCTCTGTCAAGTGAGCTGAGTTAGGCGGTGGGCCGGTGCCGGTACGACCATCCTGTAGATGTAGGAGTGTGGACCACTGTGGCAGTTGTCTGCTCTCTGCGATGGCCGTGTGAACCTCTCAGAGACCAGCGCACAGCGCCATACGCCATACCGCTATACATAAAATAAATAAAAACGGACACCTCTCTACTGTGAGATGGGTAAAAAGGAACAGGCCCCCGCCCTTGCGATCTTTGTGCAGGGTTCTTTGTGGGTGTGGTCGGCGACTAGCCGGGGTCGTCCTCCCGATGGGGGACTAGCACTAGCCGTCTTCCACATGGTCCCTCGGGTCCCTGCTGCTCCTAATCTCTTCGTACATCCTCCTGCTGATCTCCGCAAAGTCCTGCTCCCTCCCTCGTCTCACCCTGCGCGTCTGCTCCGCCTCACCGTCTTCTGCCCTGCGTCGTCTGGCGACGGGTCCTCCATAGTCGGTCGAAGTCGCCGCCCTCCTCGTGCCTCTTCCCAACGTTCCCTCGGCGGCCGATGCCCTCTGCTCCGGCTCCCCAGTCCCCGGGTCTGCCCTGCTCTCGTCTGCGCTAGTAACCGCTATACGACGTATTTTCTTCTCAATAACACACAAGGCAGAAGAGGGATCCCGTGCACCACTACCATGCGGTATCGACCCTATCCAGTGCCCAAGTGATTGATTGATAGAAAGGTGAAGAACAGTCAGGCTCGGACTGCACACCAGCGCGGTATGCTCAAGTGCTCAAGGCGAAGGCTGTGAAGCTGAAGGAGGGCTGGCCTCGCGGCGAGTTGCCTAGAGTTGCCTTCCAAGGTGGGGTTGCGCGAGCACATGCAGGCTCGCGCTGCGCTGCGGTATAAGGTGGGCCTGGCCTACCATGGCAATGCCGCTGAGACCGGTGAGTACTTGTACGACCCGAGCTACGCGCCGACGCTGGACATCGGACAAGTGGTCCACACGCTGAACAGAATGTTCAATCTCAATGTCCCACCCCCCTGCGCGCGGGCCTTCTAGGCCCGCGGGTAGTCTCCCCCCATCCCCAGGGCCTCCAGGGCTCGCACCTCAACCTCTCACAGACCAGCGCAAAGCGCCATAGGACGTATTTTCTTGTCAATAACAAGGTCTGTGAAACCTGCAGTCCCAGCGTGATGTCCACTACGAAGTCAAGGTGCCTAGCGCCCTCACAAAGACGAGGCAAGCTGGGCAGGGCTCGGCGGCACACGGCGGATGCTGTGCGTCACTGGGCCACAAGTTTGGTTTCGGCAGCACCCTTGACCAAACCTTGCTCAAGGTTTTTGTTTGTTTCTTGGGTGCAAAGAGCGCGGCCACAAGTCACAGGGCCCGCTCGTCCATGCGACCGGCAAAGGCTGGGTCAAAGAGCACAAGGGACAGTACTACGACGCGCTCCATGTCAAGAACGGAATCGTCAAAATTTGTCTCGTCGAAAGCCCGGGCGGCATCGCGCCGCCGACCTAGAGAATCATCCACAACTTCGCCAAAGAGGTCGGCAGCCCGAGCGCCGTCGACCGCACAGCCTCCGGCACAGCCTCCGGCAGCGCCCGGGGCTTCGTCCAGCACCACTCGCAACAGCTCTCGCGCGCCGCTGTCTGTGGCGACGCGCAGAACATAAACAACGCTGCTCGCAACATGCGTGTCGCGCACTCATTCATGACCGGTCTCAATGTCCCACCCCCCTGCGCGCGGGCCTTCTAGGCCCGCGGGTAGTCTCTCCATCCCCAGGGCCTCCAGGGCTCGCACCTCGACCTCTCACAGACCAGCGCATAGCGCCACGTATTTTCTTCTCCTCTCTCTAACAAGGCTGTGAAAGAACGCTGGCCAGCGCTCGCAATGGGCGCGGCGCCAGCCTTCAACACGCCCAAAGGTGCAGACCCGGCTGGCGAGGTCGCGCTGATCTGCCCGTCCACCCTCGCGTCCGCGATCGCCAGCGACGACCCGCCGCTTGTGCTCGAGGCGACCGTGGGCTGCGCTGCGTCGGGAGCGTCCTGCTTCGTTCCTGGCGCCGTCCTGTTTGACCTCGCCGCAGTGGACGTGTACGAAGAGGACGCGACAGGGTCGCCGTTGCCACTGCCGGGCAACTACAACCTGCGCCCGCCGGCGGCGCTACGTGCCGCGCTCGAGCGCCACGGCGTGCGCGCAAGGCGCCGATGCGTCGTCTACACACAGTGCCGGCGGCACACGACGGCGGCGCGGGAGGCGCAGGAGCGAGGGCACCACCACCGCTACCGGCCGGCGGCGTCGCGCGAGGGCGTGGCCGACCCGATCGTGGCCGCGCGGCTCGTCTGGTGCCTCGCCTACGCCGGCGTCGAGCGCGTCGCCCTGCTCGACGGAGGGATGAGTCTCTGGCTGGACGGAGGCTTCCCGGTCGCGGGGGAGCCGTCGCCGGCTGCGCCGGTGGGAGGGTGCTTGGACGCGGGGCCGTCCGTGTCCCGGTCCACCGACACGTCCGCGAAGCGTCCTGTAGGTCGCCGACTTCTTCGACGGGCGCGGTGGCGCCTTCCCGCGCCGCCCGGAGTACCGCGCCAGTGTTGAGGAGGTGGCGGCGGCGGTCGCTGCGAGCGGAGGCGGCGGCGGCGGCAGCGGCGGGCTGCGGATCGGCGACGTGCGCGCGCCGTGCGAGTTTGCGGGCGAGGGGCACGACTACGCCTACGCGATGCCGCACGGCCGCATCCCTGGCACACCTCCCGCCCACCCACCCACACCTCCCGCCAGCCACACTTCACGCCCCGGCGTGGGGAGACGCGTGCCTCGCCCCGCCCTCGCCCCAGGCGCCCTCCCCGCCCGGTGGGGCCCCTCCACCTTCGTCGGCAGCGAGTACTACGCGCCCCGCACCGGCGTGCTGAGGCGTTTAATAACAGATAATAACATAAAATCTCATTACTAAAATATTCTAATACATCCGGACTGGTGTGCTGAGGCCGCTGCGCGAGCTCGCCGCCTCGTGGCGGCAGGCGGGGCTGCTGCAGCGAGGCTCGCGGCGGGCGGGCGGGGCGGAGGGGGCGGTGTCGGAGGAGGCGGCCGGCGAGACGGCGCGGCTGCTCCTCTACTGCGGCTCGGGCTGGCGCTCTTCCCTCGCGTGGCTGGTCGCGCGGCTGCTCGGCCACCCGTCCGCCTCCTCCTTCGACGGAGGCCTGCTGGAGTGGGCAGCCGCCGCCCTAGATGCCGGGCCCTTCCCCCCTCACCCGAAACGAACTGGTGCTTCTGCACTCGCTAGAGAGCGGGCTACAACTCGACAACAACCGAGTACCGTCACGGACCAAGAGAGTTTACCGAAAGCGCACTAGAGGCGACCCACGTATTTATTCATGGACACGTTTCTACAGAAAGTGCGAAGTACCAACCGCAGCCCTTGGATGTTA